TGTTGATATTGAAGGGGATTCACTCGATGAAGCCAGTGATTGTAATGAGGAAGAGCATCCCATTGTGAAGAAGAGTAAGAGAAAGAAAAATGAAGCAAAGAAGAAACTGAGCGATCAAGAAAAACCTTCCAATTCTAACAACGACCTTCCTACTGGCACTTATCACAAAGACACAGAGCCTCCCTCTAAAAAACTTAGCCGGACGATTTCAGACGAAGAGTCCACATCTTCACTATACTATTTATCACCACCTTACAACATGGAGGACAGTGGAGGAGGAAGAGGAAGCTTTAGTCCTACAAGAGAGACTGATCTTGCTCACAGCCCACTATTTGAGAAACTTTCACCATTATTAAACATAAATGAAGACGAAGCCTCAAGTTATTCTGCTACTTCTCCATTATCAAAGGGGACTTTCTCTCCCAGCTGTCAGGCAGCGTTAGAGGCTAATAATACTTTATCATCGCCAGTTCCCACTAACTTCATTGATTCTCTCCTTTCTCCTACCTCGTGCAGCCCAGTCGCTCCATCAAAAACTATCAAACGCTCCAGTAGCCATGAAATCGGATCGAATCATTCGTCTTCGCCACATTCAAAAGTCTTGCTCCTTCTCTCTCGAGTCTCTCATCTGCACGACTGTCAGCCTATACTAGCAAGTGTTGATGTCCTCTCTGTCATTATGGACTATTACCTTACGATGAACCTCAAGGATGGACATTGTTTTAAAGTCCTTTCTCGTCTCTTCTCTAATCCTCACTGCTTCCAGGACTGTCTTGTCACGCTGGCCCCCTCAATGTTGTTCCACCATATGATCATGACTGATGACAATGGAGGAGTAACTAATGCACAATGTAATGCTACAAGTTATGACAGGAGAATTGCTACCAGTAATACTCAATCTACTTCATATCAAAGAGCTATGGGCTACCCATCTCCTCCAATAGGAGATTTGTCTAATATGAGGCTATCAGAGAAGGTCCAGCATAGAGGTGAGTTGAAACTCTTCTCTGGTTAGTTTACCCTTTAATCTCCATAGGGAGTTCATCTACTTTCCAAACTGCAGCACCAGGGAACCAACCTTTATTATTAGGGGACCAATCTCCAGTTGGGGGTTAGTTTTAAGGGTCTGGTATTATTAAATTTTATTTATTTTTACGAATATTTCTTCCATTAGTGGGTCAATCAGTGAAGGATCTCTGTGTCCAGTTATTAGAGAAGCTGTCAAGAGTTGCCGAGTCACCGTACGGTCAGGGAGTCATAGCTCACATGCTCCTTAGAGGCGATGAGAGAGACGTAATGGCTGGAAGCTTGGGACTCATCCTCTTAGAAAAGTACATTACATGTACATGTACATTAAACTTATGTCTTCATGTATTCACAATAGGTCTCATTCCATCTGTCACAAGATGCTCACTGAATATGGCGGACTCCATAACCTCCTCTGCTTATCGAAAGGTCAGCTGCTGACCACTCAATGCAGCTGTAGCCAGAACACCTCAACTATTGAAGATACGGAATTAAAAGAACTTACTCCTTCTCCTCCCCTTCCCTCGTCAAAAGTCTCAGACCAAGAAACACTTACTCAGTTAATGGCCATTGATACTCTACTGTATCTTGGTAGTCAGTATCGCAAGTGTCCTTCTAGGAAAAGGAGACATAGTGCAATAGAGAGACGATCTTCAGCGACGCTACCACTACCAATTAAAGCCGGAACTATTTCTCCTCCTCCCTTGTCTTCCCCGCTTTGTCTTTATAGAGATTTCGATCACTGGCCTTTTGACACATGCATAATACTTGATGATGGAACCATGTTCCCTGTTCATAGGAGAGTTCTTGTGGAGTCTTCGGAGGTTTTTTCTGTAATGCTCTCGGGATGTTATAAAGAATCTACCGACAGTTCAGTCAGCCTTCACTCTGTTTGTCCGTCTTCCTTTAGATCTCTCGTTCATCATGCTTATGGGTGTGGCTCTCATTGCTGGGGGCGTGTCAGCGAGAAGGAAGCCATTGATGAACATTATGATGATGAAGTTATCGACGAGATTGTGGCTTCTATCAAAGAGAAGGAGGGACAAGAGAGAGGGAAGCATCTCCTACGTGTCTTAATCTCTGCCAATCAGTTCTTCATGTGCTCATTGCTAACAGCTGCACAAGAGTCCTTCATGCTTTATCTGTCTCCCAAAAACGTCACTCCTCTATTCTTGTTTTCTCAGCTGCATCAGTGTTCTTTACTGTCTGATGCTACAGTTCAGTTACTGGTTGGACGTGGTCCTGGATTTTGTCAGTCAGAGTCTTTTCTTAGGCTAGTAAGATCAATCGAGTGTGATGAATTTCTAAGTACTATTACGACAGTTTTTCATCAAAAATAACAACTTGAATATTTTTTAATTAAAAAAAATCAACCATTTTTGTATTAGAAATTGTACAATTTTTAATTCCAGAATTTAATGATTGCGCATGTACATGTATCAGACATCATGGGGTAATAGTAACAGTAATATATTACATATACTTTGCCCTCATGGCTGTTACATTATAGTAATAATTATTTAATTGTTCATTTTGTGCCATTGTTCTGGTGTATATGTCTTCTGTGAAAAAGCATGTAGTAGTTTGATCTCTTCTGAAAGAATCCCGTTCACTAATCTGTGTCTCTCCAAAAGGGGCTTGTCTTTGAATTTCTCTGAGACGATTAATACCTCAAAGCTCTTTCCACAGCCTCCAGAAATATCTTTTAGTTCCTGAAGTAAAGAACAAGTATTTACTCAAAAACCAAGTGTATGACCCACAGAACTTATTAGATATTATATGTTATCACAGAGCTTACTATATGTGTAGGTTCTAACTGATCAGTTAATTTTTTCTTTATTTCCAACTCAAGCTCTGTTTCGGCCGCCATTTTATCGGATGTGACGTCACAATTAGACTGCCCCTCCCTCTAATCTCGCACTGCCATAAATTGAGGTGCAGGTTGTCGCTCCAGCCAAAAAAATCATCATAAAGACAGTGAAGACCCGACTTTCCTTCTATTTCTGTGAAATCACATTAAAGTGAGTATTTTAAAAATATACTAGTACTAAATTTACTATTATTCTGCGTGTTATTTATCAGTTCGCATCACTGAAAACCAAGTCACCCAAAACTGAGCCATCCTTATAGCTAGCTAGCTATAGTGTGAATTAAGACCATATAAAATTGTGTTATATACATCTGAGAACTAGCTAGCTATTAGAGGTTGTCAGCTTGTTGTGGTTGTGGTGTGACTGGTTTATAATTACCTATTCATGCATTCACTACCCATTACTGTTCATTACTAAGGCATGCACTACTGATAGCCTACATGCATTAGTAGTGGCTTGTGAGTTTACGGCTTGTCCTATTAGCACTAAATCATGACACCTGGTACTACTCATTCTCTCAGTATAAGACTGTGTAGTAGGTAGTAACTGTTAATCTAATTTACTGGAGGCTGTTATTGCATTTGTTCCGCAATAACAATGCCAACCGGGTCCTCCTATGTATACAAAAAGAATATAGGGAATTATGCATGTAAATAAACATAGTTTATAAATATGATGGTAGATTTACCATTTAAGGCTCTAGGTAAAACAATAGGTTTGTTTGTTGTTTATGTAAGACGCATGATCATATCTTGGCTAATAGTTACTCATGCACTTTACTTAGCTGCCCATGCAGTGCTAATGGTGTTGATAAGAATAACTGAGTGACCGGGTTAATGATACAGTCAATGTTTACCCAACAGCATTAAGAGCATAGTGATAGATTGACTCATCTCTACTGGTAACACCTGCACAATATGGAATGCTATGCAGCCTCACTGCATTACAACAAACTTTTATATTACTGGTACATGTTACATCTTATAGTCCGGCCTTTGATCCACTTATTTTATGCTACATGTATTATGTGATCAAGGATACAATTCTCATCCTCTCACTATTTGAACCAAGTAATTTTATGCTTATCTATCTATACAGTAGTAAGGACTATCTAAATCTTATGGGTAGGCTTAATGATCCACGAGTCCTTTGAAGTTGTTACTGATAGTTCAAAGTATGCATGCTATAGGATGTCAGAATATCCTATTTGAATATTATAGTTGCAACACACACTGCATGTGCTTATGTTTTCTGGCATGTGTTCATAAAATGGGACAAACATCCTGTCAGTGATTGACATAGAATGTCGTGTTATGCATTAGTGCACACAACACAAAAATGACTTTACTATTTGAACTCATTCTTTCCATTATTGGAGTTTGCATTGACTGCAGCGCCTAAAACTTGGCCACAGATTTTCCTAGACAGCCAGCAAGTCTCCCCTTCATTTTGTTATTATTTTTGGCAGCATCTGAGTGTACATCCTCTTTAATAATTGGCTTCGAGTTCAAAAACAAGTACCTGAATTATATATACACACAAAACATCATATTTACTATAAACATTGTCACAATATTGGATAACCACAGTAACACTATTGTAGACTGCATGTTTACATGTGATAAAAGTTATCATCACAAAATTTTCATTATGCCTATGCATAATAATAAAGTCACAATAAGAAATTGTGTGTAAGAAATTGTTATGTATAAATACATGTTTATGACTCTTGTAGCTAATAGTGTAATTGTTTTTATTCCACTTTCTTCTTTGTAGTTAAAATGAATAACACGACCAATGGTGATTTCCTCCAAGACGTAGAGTCCTTTCTCTATACTCCATTAGGACTAGGAGCCTTAGCCGGAGCTACTGCTCTCCTCACTTCATGTCTGTGGCTTATCTGCTGCAGTGTTGCCTGCTGCTGTATAAAATGGCGGAACAAAAGACGCGAAAGTGGGACAATAGAGGCTGGAGCTGATCTCAAGTACATGACATGTACAGAGTTTCGGCCACCGCATTATTCGTCTGCTACATCTACTGAGAATGGCTATCATAGTAACGCAGGGACTCTGTCTTCGTTGAATCGTCACGACGCTCTTGCAATTCACTCTTCAATGGATGCCATTTTAAATTAATAATGATTATTGTTGTGTTTGTGACTCTCTGTTCAATTATACCCATTTTGTTCTCTTGGAAGATATCCCGGCAGTCTTGTTATATTGTTCTTATCCATGGACTCCATAGTATCTATGGTTTGTCATTAAAACTGTGTTATTTATCATCATATTAATACCAAAACTGATTTATTTTACAATGCTTGTTTGGCAATCAAATAGCTCTCATAATTTCCCAAATACATTCACCAATTCCCATCAAAAAACAAGAAATACTACAGAGAGAGTATGCGAGGTTTTACGAAGTATTAAATATCCCCCGACCCCGTACCAGCCAAGCGTCGGTATGACGCTATAACCCACGTGTAGTCCCATTATCAATATGGCTACCACTCCTTACCTATTTGTGGATGTATTTCTCGATATCTCGAAAGAGATCAGCCTCTCACTCCTGTTCATCTGTTCTATTGTGCTCTTGGCTTCCTTTTACTGGTTATATCGTAGACCAAGCCTCCCCAGTAAAGTATGAAGAAGGATTTGATGATGTTAGCCCTTTTATAATGTCTGATAATGATAGGTTAAAAGGACTGGACCGCTCTCAGTTAGAGTCCTTTATGCTTCTCAGACTGGTACTGGGAAAGTAAGGCTATTGAAGGAGTTGTGTCCATTATATTATGTTTTGTTTTAGCGTTTTGCTGAGCAGTTAATGAGTGAGATCAAATTAAGAGGTTTTCATTGCTCAGTCTCTGATGTCAGCCATATTGATCCTGACGAGGAATTCACCACCCCAGAACTCTCCCCTCGTAGTCTGTATGTATTTTTAATCTCGACTTATAGTGAAGGGTTTCCGCCTGACTCCGCCCGCTGGGTTTTCCAGTGGTTAAGAGAGTCAGTTGACGACTGTCGAGTATCAAAGTCCCTTCTCTCTGGTCTGTGTTTTGCCGTGTTTGGGTGTGGCAACTCACTTTATAAAGATCATTATAATATGGTAAGTGGAACAACTAATAATGTTAATACTTAATATATGCATGTGTATATTTTAAATGCTGTATTCATAAGTTGCAATTTACTTTATGTTGTCTATAATGTACATGTACATACATATTTTAATTCTCTCTCCTATATTGCAGGCTGCTAAAAACCTGTTTGACTGGTTGGTTCAGTTATCTGCTAAGAGTGTCTGCCAGTTAGGACTGGGAGATGCCAACGTCTCTCAGAGTGAACACGGAGGTGTGGCCTATTCAGTCACATGACATTACTTTCAATGCTTTGTAGGTCTGTCAAACGATTTTGCTGCTTGGAAGAATCAATTTTTGGAGTCACTCGAGAGATTGAGGTAAGAACGAGAACAGAATTGCGAGAATGAGTCCATGCAACAGAATAGGAATGAGTCTGATGAGAACAGAACCAAAGCCTCGGATCATAACTCAAAATTTTATTCTAACCAGAATGGGAATGAGTCCAGACAGGATGGGTCTGAGTCTTTGCGTGGCGTCTCGTATGAAGAAGATTTAGATGGTAGCAGTACTGATGACGAGGGGGTGGGGTCAGAAGATGATGTGGTTGATGTTGAAGATATCGGAGATATGATGGTTAAAATGAAGAAAGCTTCGGCTGATAATAAGAGACAGAATGAAAAGAAGAAAAGAGAAATGGTGACACCTGAAATCAGACAGTCACTGACAAAACAAGGTAGATCATTATGTTTTATTTTAAAAGACTCGATCACTACACACACTGTAATCTAACTTGAAGTACATTTAATAATGTAGACTGTAGCAATTTGGAGTTTTAAGTTTTTTGATTTGATTTTTAAAGTTTTAATGGATTTTTATAACACGTACAGTGTAGCACATACTACATGGCCTTTCTCCTTCTATTCTTTCTCTTTTATTATTTTCCCTCCTTCCCTCTCTCTCTCTCCCCCCCTCTCTCTTCCCCCTCTCTCCCCCCTCTCTCTCCAGGGTATCGTATCATTGGCAGTCACTCTGGTGTTAAATTGTGCCGCTGGACGAAATCAATGTTACGTGGGCGTGGCGGATGTTACAAACACTCCTTTTATGGTATAGAGAGCCATCGCTGTATGGAAACCACACCCAGTCTTGCCTGCGCCAACAAATGCGTGTTTTGTTGGAGGTACATACAAAACACACCCACTACCGCCCACACACTAATTTGTTTATTTCTTCCTATGCCGACCACAGTCTCATGATATCTTGTTGACTTTGTATGTCATCTTGTTTTAGTAATGTCCACCTTTATAGGGACAACTCCCTTTTACTCCTCCTACTCATTTCTATTTATACATATTTATTACGTCATGCTAATGTTTCTATTTATAGACACCATACTAATCCTGTTGGTACGGAATGGGTATGGCCCATGGATGGTCCCGAGAGGATTGCACAGGAAGCACTGGCTAACCATTATCAGATGATAAAGGAATATAGAGGTAAGTACATGTGTCAGCACTTTATGAATAAATAATATTACTGGTAATATACTATGTAGTTGAGGGTCAAAAATAAGCTGGTAAGCACGAATGACCACTTCAGAATATTCTGTAAAATTTTTATTAAAGAAATCAAAAATACAAAAACATAGAACATACTAATTAATGCATGTGGTGTGTTAGTTCAACATTTGATAATGTGTTAAAATGTAAGTATGTCACTCATGTACATCTAGAGTATGTATATACAGCAAATTATTGTTTTGTGCATATGGCAAATAATACTGTATTTAATAATACATGTACAATGTAATTCGTTATTGTTAATAATACTCAAGTGGCTTCGAGAGGCTAAAGGTATCAATTTTTCCAACAAGAGGAGACCATTTCCCAGTCCCTGGATGGAACGACCCCTGGGGGTCCTTGCAATGATAATTACCAATGCCACTCACATAAACATCATTGAATGGATTAGCAACGTCAAGGATAGAAGGAACTTCTGCTGGGGTATAAGTACGCTCTCGTTGCTGTTTTTTGTCATATACAACATCTACTCCATTTGATGATGATATAAGAGTGAATCTGTTTCCAAGAAGAGATTGGAACTCTTCATGTGTGAGGCGATATGTCCAGTCATAATAGCCATCATTCCACTTGATGCTGCCAAAAAAAATTAATGACACATATCACATAATATCACATATTATTGTACTTACTTTATTTTCTCGTGATTGTGTATCATTGATTTCAATTCTCTCTCAATTGACTGGATGCTCTTGTCTTTGCTCTTTTCATAAGCTTTTATCATCAATAGTCCAAGGAGGTATGACTTTGGCCTGCCTACAGCATCCTGTCCTTTTGGCCAGTGAAGGTTCCTCCAGGCCTTGAAACGCTTAATGTATTCCTTCACCTACATTATATGATGTGATTGTAGTCATGTGATAGTCATGTGACTGACCTCATTCGGCTGCTCTTTAAAGAACTTGACCTGCCATTTGGCTGCACTACAAGAAAATCTAAACCAAATCCGAAACTAATACAAGTGTGTGTTTCTAAAACTTACTTCATTTTGTCTTTTTTGTCTTTGCCTTCAAGAAAGCGATGGAATGGGTCTGGGTCCTCCCAGTATGGACTGGGCAATAGATCAACATCAATAACTCCATTGAGTTTAAATTGAAGAGAAAATGAAGTCTTGTTGACGTAGACATATGCTTCTGGCAACCTTCTCCTCAGGAAGACATCCAACCTGTCTAGAATATTGTCCACTCCAATCTCTAACACAACTTCAGGATCAATATCTGGAGGGGAAAAGGCTTATAAAGCAGCTGGTATATTAGTGAGTGGATTATACCTCTTGAGTAGAGGACCAGGTCTAAGTCAAAGTCACCAGGAATGGCTGTACCGTGACCTAAGGAACCTCCTTTTATGATCTCAGCTGGAGTCAGTCTCGTGTCCTCTTTAAGATATTGCTACAGTTAAGGATAGACAATTGAATCAATTGATAGTAGTTAAAGTAAGAAGACAGGAGACATATAGGAAGTCTTAAAAAGTAGTATTATTAGATAAACTTTTCTCTTACATGGAAAATCCTCACTAGTTCATCAACGTGTCTGTTAGCATCATTAATAGTAGCCATAATCTTTCTATTCTTCCTGATAAAAGACAGGCAGATAGACTGAAGCTGTGCTTTTACTTATATACCATATGGCATCATAGCATGATTGTGCATTTGTGTTGCATTGTGTCTTAGTGTTCTTTGAAGTAGCATTGTTCAGCATGACATATGAACTGTCCCTGGGAATTTTTTGTTAATTTATTCATAGCCTGATTCATTTAATTAATGGGAAATGCATTAATAGTTACTCATGAATAATTAATAATTCATTATTTTGTTAAAATAAACTCAGTAATAGTTATTATATAATATTATGTTGCTCACAATCACGAATGACCACTTCAGAATATTCTATGAAATTATTATTAAATTAAGGCAACATAAAATAACTTGAAAGATACAAAACATTTGATATAATGTGTTAAAAGTGTCACTCGTGTACATGTGCAGTATGTAATGTATACATTTATATGAATGTGGCAAATGTGTAGTGTTATAATTATAATGATGCACAGTACATGTGCATGTACTGTGCATGTATATAGTTAGTTGTTGTAATATTCAAGCGGCTTCGAGAGGCTAAAAGTATCGATTTTTCCAACAAGAGGAGACCATTTCCCAGTCCCTGGATGGAACGACCCCTGGGGGTCCTTGCAATGATAATTACCGATACCACTCACATAAACATCATTGAATGGATTAGCAACGTCAAGGATAGAAGGAACTTTTTGTGGGTAATAATTACGCTGGCGTTGCTGTTTGTTGTCATAAACAACATCTACTCCGTTTGATGAAGATATAAGAGTGAATCTGTTTCCAAGAAGAGATTGGAATTCTTCTCTTGTGAGGCGATATGTCCAGTCATAATAGCCATCGTTCCACTTGATACTAACAAAAAATAAATGACATTTTTTATATTATCACATACATTGTACTTACTCTATTTTCTCGTGATTGCGTATCATTGATTTCAATTCTCTCTCTATTGACTGGATGCTCTTGTCTTTGCTCTTTTCATAAGCTCTTATCATCAATAGTCCAAGGAGATACGACTTGGGCCTGCCTACAGCATCCTGTCCTTTTGGCCAGTGAAGGTTCCTCCAGGCCTTGAAACGCTTAATGTACTCTTTCACCTATCATGTGATAGTCATGTGATATTAGTGTATGTAGTCATGTGATAGTCATATGATTATTATAGTTTACATGTTACTAAAGACTCACCTCATTTGGCTGCTCCTTAAAGAACTTAACCTGCCATTTGGCTGCACTGCAAGAAAATCTAAGCGAAAACTTAAAATCATACATTTCTAAGACTTACTTCATTCTTTCTTTTTCTCCTTTGTCTTCAAGGAAGCGATGGAATTGGTCTGGGTCCTCCCCCCAGTATGGACTGGGCAATAGATCAACATCAATAACTCCATTGAGTTTAAATTGAAGAGAAAATGAAGTCTTTTTGACATGGACATATGCTTCTGGCAACCTTCTCCTCAAAAAGACATCCAACCTGTCTAGAATATTGTCCACTCCAATCTCTAACACAACTTCAGGATCAATATCTGGAGGGAAAAAGGTTTATAAACCAGCTGGTATGGTCAATATTAGGTTATGCTATACCTCTTGAGTAGAGAACCAAGTCTAAATCAAAGTCGCCAGGAATGGCTGTACCATGACCTAAGGAACCTCCTTTTATTATCTCAGCTGGAGTCAGCCTTGTGTCCTCTTTAAGATATTGCTACAGTTAAGGATAGAAAGAATTAGCTCATTAGGGAGGTCATTCAATTTTACAAACTAGTACACTCTAACTCCATTTCTCTTACATGGAATGTCCTCACAAGCTCATCCACACATCTGTTAGCATAGTCTATAGTAGCCATCTTGTTTATATTCCTGGTAGAAGACTGATTGACTCAGTTAGACTGAGCTAGTGTGTGTCGTTATATAGCATAGCATGACGGTGCATTAGTGTTTAGTGTTGCTGTTACATTGTGTCCTTATGTTCTATGAAGCAGTGCCTGTCAGCATCTCTTGTAAACTATCCCTGGGAAATTCCATGTTAATTTTATTCATAGTCTGATTTTATTTAATTAATGGGAAATGCATTAATAGTTACTCATGAATAATTAATAATTTCCCATGCATTACAATGACACATCCCCATTACCTTGTATTCTCTCTCCCTCCCTCTCTCCTCCTCTCTCTCTCTCCCTCTCTCTCTCTCTCTCCCTCTTAAGGTGTTCCAGGTGTAAGAGGAGAGAGGCTAGCTGAGGGAATGAAGGTCAAGCATTGTGCTCTCTCGCTGGTGGGAGAGCCCATCATGTATCCAGAGATTAATAAACTGATTGGGTTACTACACGAGAAAAAGATCTCAACATTTCTAGTCACTAATGCTCAGTTCCCTGACGCTATAAGGTAACGGTTCTAACAGGCACCAGGTAACATTTAAATAATAAAGAGAATGTTAAGAATTGCTGCAGCTGCAATACTTATACTGTATCTACTAGTAAGACTTTCTGTTTCATATAACATTATGTTAACTATGACATCTTTCACTTTCATCTGAAGATGGTGTTCCTTTCAATCTACATGTACATGTATATGCATGTATGGTATGTTAGTTAGGGGCCGCTTTAAGTGGACTTATTCTTTTACTCACTGTATTGTAGTATTATAATACTCACTGTAGTACTGGCAGGTCTAAAGTATACTATACCTATGCTTATTTCATTTTTAATTTTTTGTCTTTGCTCCCTCCCCCCTCTCTCTCTCTCTCTCCCTCTCTCTCTCTCTCTTTCTCTCTCTCTCCCTCTCTCTCTCTCTCTTCCTCTCAGAACACTAAGTCCGGTCACTCAGTTATATGTTAGTGTTGATGCCAGTACTAAGGAGAGTCTTAAGAAGATTGATCGTCCGTTGTTCAAGGACTACTGGTCCCGCTTCATTGATAGTCTCAAAGCTTTAGCTGATAAGGTTAATAAGCTTTAAAATCAACCCAAACTTTTATTACATTTTTTGGTACATATTGATGCCCTTATGCTATGTAGAAAGTTTGAGCTCATTTTTAATCAAAATTAGATTTTTTTTACAAATTTTTCAAGTTGCTCCAAAGCCAGGCCAAAGTCCCTGTACTACAGTATATAGGTTATAACAATAGTCTAATGGTTATGGTATGACAATAGATCATTTACTGTGTTGGTTATTGTGGAGTGTTGATGTTTATTGGAGACATAACATGTAACATAATCTTGTCTTACGTAGCTCCCCCGTCCCACTGCTATATTGAGCTAATGATAGCTTCATACTTGTCATTATTCCATTAAAGTTATTTGCAAGCATTCAATTATGCTTATAACCTAGGTATGTACTGTAAATGTATTTATTATTCTGCATTAATTAGCTTTGTAAAAACCTCAGTATTATTATCATTATTATTATTATCATTATTTATTTATTTATTATTATCATTATTATTATTATCATTATTTATTTATTTATTATTATCATTATTATTATTATCATTATTATTATCATTATTATTATTATCATTTTTATTTATTTATTTATTTATTTATTGTTCAGGGCCAGAGGACCGTGTATAGGTTAACACTGGTCAAGCAGTGGAACACTGATGAACTGGAAGGATATGCTGAACTTGTGTCCCTAGGACAACCTGATTTCATTGAGATAAAAGTAATCAACATTATAAAGATCCTTTGGTTTAAAGTTTCCACTAAAATAAGCTTAAAACGACCCCAAATTTTTATTACATTTTTCAATGTCCTTATAATGTTACGTAGAAAGTTTCATCTCCATAATTCTCATGAATATTAATATTTTATTTTTATTTATTTTTTAGGGTGTGACGTATTGCGGTGAGTCCAAAGCCTCTTCCCTCACAATGGCTAATGTCCCATGGCATGATGAGGTACGGTCTATGAGCAAAAATACATGTACATGTACATGTATAATGAATGTAGTGTATAGTCACAATTATTGTTGACTCAAACTTTTAAGCAGTATTCACATACATGTGTGTATGTGTGTGTGTGTTCAGTTTATTCATGTCAATATTTACTGTCTTGTATATCAACACATCTTTTCATTATTATTATATAATCCTTGATCTGCTCACCTTTTGAACTAATGGTCACACAAGTAATGCTAGTCTATCTTTCATATCTTAGTATATTATTACTTAAAATAATTATATTTTTATGTGAACCAATTTTGGGGATATTTATACAGCTTTAAAAATATTATTGTTTATAGTAATCTACTAGTCTTTTCCTTGTTTATGATAGTTAAGGATTGTTTTCTAATTCCTACAGTGACATGGACCCAGTTCTATATGTACATGTATATCTAAATGTACCTGTATTATTATTACGTCATTGTTGTGTCTTTGTTTGTTTGTTGTTTATTTTGTTGTCTGTTTGTTTACAGGTACTAACGTTCGTCAAAGAGCTAGCCGATCTCCTCCCTGACTATGAAATGGCGTGTGAGCACGAGCACTCAAACTGTGTCCTCCTTTCTCACAGGAAGGTGGGGGATGTTCCAAATAAGGGCGCGACCATATATGGCTAGTAGTCTAGACTCTATTGGTTACAGACATTTTTGTGTTATTACCACTTGGCCTAATAATGGATGTATCTCAATAGACACTTTATGTTGTAATTCTCTCGTTTCTATTGTCTTTTACATGTGTACATGTACTTATTTTTAAAATTGATTATTTTCATTTTGTTTTATGTAGTTTTTCATTGATGGGAAGTGGCATACTTGGATTGACTATGACAAGTTTCATGAACTAGTAATTGATATACCAGCAGCAATTCTATCACTTCTTCCCTCCTCTGTCTCTCAATATCCTTAGAACACTCATTATAACGATACTGCTGGTTCAAAGTCCTTTACTGCACTGGATTACATGGCGGTTACTCCCAGCTGGTCTCTCATTGGTTCAGCTGAAAGAGGTTTTGATCCTGGAGAGACAAGATGGACTAGGAAGAGCAAGAGAAAGGCAGAAAGTGGCTGCTAATGGAGGCCTACCTTTAGCTGATTAAAAGCAAGTGATGGATTTACTTTAGCATTAATAGGAGTGCTGTTATTTTTGCTTGCAAAAAGAGCTAGTTGTTATTATTTTAGATATTTTTATTTTTGAATTAGGTTTGTGCGGTGAAGCAGCTATAGGTCTGATTCAACCAGAACTATGTTCATCCACTGATAGACACTTAATTTTTTGTCATTATTGTAATTTAAAATGAATCAACATCATAATTTCTAATTAAAAATTTGTTCCATAAAGGGATTTATAATTATCGTAATAAAAATACAATCTGAAACTAAATTCTTCTATAGAATTGCAGAAAATTACGCCCAATTTTCATTCACATCATGCTTCTCATACAAATTACAGCTGCTTCAGTACTTAAACCGGTTTGAGCCACTTACCTGATCCGGATAAACCGGTTTAAAACCGCATTGAAATATTCCATACTTCTAAACCGGTTCCAAACCGATTTGAGGGCAAAGTGTAAATGTTCACATCCGCTGGAGCATATGCCATAGGAGCGACAGGGAGACACGCGATCACAGTTTACAAAGCCTCCTCCATATAAAAGGTTAACTCTTCCATTTCTCTTCGCTATTTTACCCAAGCCATCATGAACTTTTCTCCTCGTAGAGTTTCCATGAGTGTCCGGCCCGCCCTCCACCTTCTACCGCTGGAGCTGAGGATAGCTTCCATTGGGAAGGATGACCTCCCGTCTTTCACTTACCCTCTCCTCCAAATGACCCTTGGGCTCCTGGGACAGCAGTCTTCATGCAGACAGTAAGAGAAAGAGTCATTCCTGCAATTGGTTATGAGTCTTTGCTTTGTTTTTGATAGGAATCATTTCTTTAGTTTCACTGAGACTAAAAATGACTATTCTCTCATTTTAGATAATGAACTATTTAAAGGTACGCTGTAGCAATCATTATCATTATTAAAAAACTTGAACACTTGCTTCTCTTTGCGCTATAATAGCAACACTGTGATATATTTGGACATTGCAATGGTGTCGCTGCTTGCAAAATTTACATAGAATAGTGTTGAGTGCTGCATAGCTGAGTCTTTAGTGGCCTTTATTGACAAACGTTATCAACATGACACTATTCAATATTGTGACACATACTTCACAGTAGAAGCAAATGATGTATTAGTTATATGTTATTGCATCAGCCACTATATCACTGCTTGTTTATGTAGACCCATATCCTTTCTAATAAAAGGAAGCAAGATCTCATATTCCAATTTATTATTTTATTATTATTTTATTGCTCCTGTCGTAGAACTCATCCAGTTCCCAGGCTCCGAAGCCTTACAAGTAGCTCCAGAGAGTTGGAGACCGCTCACTATTGAGGTGGGAGCTTTTGGGTCTCTGACGGGAATATCAAAACTAGTGGCGAGCGTCATAGGACCACTGGCAGATGAGGGGGTTTCTGTATTTTGTCTCTCAACGAATCAAGAGGATTACGTTATGGTAGGACCATCTTTTGACTCTCATTTACCTTCACTCTCTCTCTCTCTCTCTCTCTCTCTCTCTCTCTCTCTCTCTCTCTCTCTCTCTCTCTCTCTCTCTCTCTCTCTCTCTCTCTCTCTCTCTCTCTCTCTCTCTTTTAGGTAAAAGAGAAAGATCTATACAAGGCTATGACATGTCTTCATCCATGTTTCAAGCTGTTAGCAGAATTAGAACAAGACGTACAACTAATTGAAAACTTCTCTCACGATAACGTTCCCAACCAAATAAAAAATGGTGAGAGAGAGAGAGAGAGGTTTTGAAATATGTGTACATGTACAAGAGTTTAAAATCTTAAAATACATATTCATGGTGATAATGTGGTTTAGGGTTTACTCTCTTGTTGGTAGTGCCATGACAGGTTTTATCTGGCCTCTAAATGGCTATCAATACGTATACCATTCATGTGCAGGTGTGTGTTTGCAAGCTTAGAGGATTTTATGTTTGCATCCTTGAGCATTATCATTTTGTGGGTAGAGTATTTTAAAAGGATGGAGAGTGAGACAGAGAGCCTGCGATAGAAATTAAGGAGAGAGAGAGAGAGAGGAAGAGGGGGGGAGAGGGAGAGAGAGGAAGAGGGGACAAGGTGGATGAATTAGTTACAAAAAGTAACGAAAATTATGAAATTTGTCTTGCTACATATACAATACTCAAATTAGTTTTTTTGCTGAGTGTATACTTGCAAGTGAACTCCGTTGAGAGATTGAGGAAGGAAGAAGCAGAGGATATAGTACATGGTTAGGGATTAGTAAAGTGGCTAGGGAGCTTGTATTGAGGATACAGGGAGTATGCTCCTGTGGAATTTAAGACACTTTTGTTATTTCCTGTTGGAAGGCTCGTAATCACATTGGAAACTATGTTACTGTCACAATTGATGTTTTGTGGTTAGATGATGTCAGTCTTCATTTTATTGAATATTATTATATGCACTTACAGTGTACACTGTAGCATAATCCTCTTATAATATGCCAGTCAAAAATGACGAATATATGTTGCTCCAAAATTCTGAAAAGTTCCAAAAAATGGCTCCAAAATCACCCCAAATTTTTATTACATTTTCTGATACATATTGATGTCCTTATGCTGTGTAGAAAGTCTGAGGTGATTCCGACTTCAATTTTTCGAGTTACGGCCATTTTAAGAAAATGACAAAATTCTGAAAATTACCCTGTACTATAGCCCATGGTTTTTTCCAAAAAATGGCTCCGAAATCACTCCCAATTTTTATTAAATTTTCTGATACATATTGATGTCCTTATGCTGTGTAGAAAGTTTGAGCTGATTCCGACTCCAATTTTTTAGGTTACGGCCATTTTAAGAAAACGTCAAAAATCTGAAAAATACCCAAGGCTATAGTCCATGGTTTTTCCAAAAAATGGCTCCGAAATCACTCCCAATTTATATTACATTTTCTGATACATATTGATGTCCTTATACTGTGTAGAAAGTTTGAGCTGATTCCGACTTCAATTTTTCAGGTTACGGCCATTTTAAGAAAACGTCAAAAATCTGAAAAATACCCAAGGCTATAGTCCATGGTTTTTCCAAAAAATGGCTCCGAAATCACTCCCAATTTATATTACATTTTCTGATACATATTGATGTCCTTATACTGTGTAGAAAGTTTGAGCTGATTCCGACTTCAATTTTTCAAGTTACATGTATGTCCATTTTTAAAAGTTTTGAATTTTTGTATTTCATTGATTTTGGCCAAATTTTGTCAAAAACTCCCAGGAGAGAAATTTCCATATTAATTACATTTTAGTGCATAATCACGTAATATTATTTATTATTATTTTATATTCTCGTAGATCTCAATTATATTGAATTACCCTCCCCTCGGTCCATCACTCATCCTTTCACGTGTACAGCGTCAAAGTTTCACGTCTGCTCCATACTACCATCCACTCTTCCATCAATAGCTCAACCTCTCCTACAACTAATGTTCTACAATACAAGGTAAGGAGGAATTAATATACCGTATAATGCTTTAATTTGGCGGAGTTTTATTTTGGCGATTGGCGGTTTGCAAGCGGAATCGCCAATATTAAAACTGCCAATCATTAATGCGCATACTCAGTAATGCACGTGTACACAAAAACAGCCAAATTAAAAACCGCCAATTATAATTTTTTAGCAAAACCGCCAAAATAAAGTGCCGCCAAAATAAAGCGTTATACGGTACTAATAGTGTAATAGAAGAGTATTTTGAGGCCTAATTTTAGTGTGAATCTATCAAGAATAATGTGTTATTATACCTTAATTTTGTAACTTAAAAGTGTGTGTCTGTTAAGGTTTTGTGCCCTAAATATGCATATTTGCTGGTAATTATCGTCAAATTATGGTTCATTGTACTTTAGTGAGTAGCTTTGTGGTATTTGATTCCTTTAATTTGTTGTTACAGGTCAGATGACGTTTTCCTTTCCTTATCAATTATCAGTGATGACATATCAATGGTACTGGATGCCAGAGATATCGACAAGTTTCCGGAAGATTCCGTGTACAGCAGTGAAGCATATTGGAAAGTCATCACAATTGGAGACGGACCACTTGGATTTGGTAAGTATAATTATATTCTATTATCATTATATTTCCTTAAATTCAATCTCGCTGATACTATTAATTTCAAATGCTAAATTACTGGTACAACACAAGGGTCTAATAGTATTCAAAGGACAAAAACTAACATTTAAAGTTCGTGTCTATTTTTAACAGCTATATCCTAAATCCCTGAGTTTCTAAGCTTCCTCTACAACTAACTAACACATGAATTATTACTATCATGATACTGTGAATGCTTATTAAAAATTAGTAATATTCGAGGCCTAATATCATTTAC